ATGAATGTGAAGATTAGTTTTGTAAAACTTGCTGCATATTGTGGATCACTTTGTATTTGTGTATGATGGATACTACACCAGTTGCAAAATTCTTTTAACCCTCAGAATATGTTGGTGTGTGTGTGTGTGCTTGAGGGTGGTATTTACATAGCATTAAGAGTACTGTAGTGGGTCTCTTTAGATTGTTTCATATTTTAAAAAGAATAAGTGCTAAAATTGTAGTTATGTTTTTAGTGTTATTTTTTAAGCATATGGATTTCAGAATAAAACTGAAAAATAGAAACTATTTTCAAAGTGAAATTCAATCTATATATTTGTGTCTGTTAGGAAATATATATAGTAAACTTCATTATGGGTAACTCATTTATTATTGTGGTGATAATGTGTTTTTAAAGTGTCTGTACATTTAAAAAAGCACCTTAAAACTAAAGTAAAAATGTTACCCTCACCAAACCATGATATTTTAAAATTTACATAATCTTTTGAACTATAAAAACCCAGATATGGTGTTTTCTTTAATGCATTGGGCTTTCTGTTTTTTAGTTATTTCACATAAGACTTCTATTTAAATGGCTAATTTTAGATTTTTTATTTTCAGAGCTTAGTATTTTTAAGAATTAAGAGCTATATGAGTAATAAGTAAAAATTCTCTCTAAAAGAAAATGCATGATTACTGATAGAATGATTACTATTTATTTTTGAGTTTTAGTTAAACTTAGAAAATATCTGCCCATTATCATCAGTGTATGTTTTTTTATTATTTATTTTATTTTTGCAAGTAATTTGCTTTTCCAAAATGTGCTTAAAATTTTTTTTCTGGCATAATTGTTTGGATTGTGAAATGTACATGATTTATTTTAATATTATAAAGTATAGGTTATTGCATCTTCTGTATTATAGTTTCATGTGAATAATTTACCATTTCTTTCTGTTTTCCATTGAACTATTCAGTGGTCGGTGAAGATGGTAAGCCTCGTGTGCTGATATATATACTGTGCCAACATTAAGTAATCTCAAAACATTGTTTTGTTTAATTCAAAACAAGTGGTAAAGTACATCCCACATTATCACCTTGTGTTTTTTTTTTTTATAATTTAATCCATAGTCCAATATATCCCCGTACCTCTCAGTGTCATAGATTATAAAGCAATGTGGTTAACTGTCATGGACCATTAAGTTCTTAAATGTGATTGGGTGGAGTCCTTGTCATGTTATAGTGAAGAATAAAATTATATTACATATTTTAAGGGTTACATGGTAGAGGCTGAATGTGGGATATACTCCTGTAATCCCAGTGATTCAGGAGACTGAGGCAGGAGGATTGCAAGTTTGAGGCCAGCCTGAGCAGTTCAGTGAGGTCCTAAAGAACTTAGTGAGACCCTGTATCAAAATAAAAATTGGATGTAGCTCAGTGGTTAAGAACCCCTGGGTTCAATCCGCAATACCCGCCTGCCCCCCCCCCCCCAAAAAAAAGAAGGGTTACATGGTAGAGCAAAAATCCATGGTATATGCAGAAGGAAAATTTAGCATAAATTATTTTTCCTAGCATTCTTAAGAAAGGTCATATAAAATTTATTTGTAGTTTATCTTATACACTACACTGTTAGATTTCTCTAAAAAGAAAGAAATTGACCTACTAGTTTTATTATGAAGTAAATGCTCTGTTTTTCTATACCACTGAAGGGAAACAGAAATATAAATAATCTAATGTGTGTATATATATATGTGTGTGTGTGTGTGTGTGTGTGTGTGTGTGTGTGTGAGAGAATTTTCACCATTTCAGATGTTAATGGAACTACATTATGAAGAACTAAATCAAAATTACTGGGAGTTTGTATATGAAACTACAAAATAACTTTTGGAAAATAGACTTTTTTTTAGACAGTTCAAATTTAACCTTTATAAATTCCCTTATAGTAAGAAAGGTTGTTAAATACCTCAGAGGGCTTCTTCACATCCATAAGAAATAGAGTTTATTCTCATATTCTATGTAAGAATGAGTCATAATATTGAAATGAGATATTAGAAATTTGGGAGGCTAGGCACAGTGGCACACACCTGTAATCTCAGCTACTCAGGAGGCTGAGACAGGATGATCGAAAATTTGAGACCAGATTGGACAATTTAATAGAGATTCTGTGCTTCAAATAAAAAAGTAAAAATGGCTGGGGATGTAGTTCAGTAGTAGAGCACCCTTGGGTTCAGCCTGCAGTAACCTAGTGTGTGTAAGGTGGGAGGAATGCAGATGCTGTAGGTATCTAATGTTAATAAATTTGATCATGAGGTTGATTAGGAATAAGTGGAAATATGGCAGATTTTGCTTGTGGGAAATTATGAGTTTTTAATAATATCCCCTCCCCCCAAAAGGCCTATTATAGAATTGTTTTTCTTTTGTATAATACTGTTTTCCCCGTTATGTTAGGGAGAGAATTTTTACTTGTTTGTTTTTGTGGTGCTGGGATTTGAACCCAGGCAAGCACTTTACCACTGAGCATTATGTATTTCTTCATTAAGAAAAATTTCAAGGGGCTGGGGTTGTGGCTCAGAGGTGGAGCGCTTGCCTACCATGCATGAGGTATTGGGTTTGATCCTCAGCATCACATAAAAATAAAATAAAGATATTGTGGTCCACCTATAACTAAAAAATAAATATTAAAAAGAAAAAAATTTTAAGGTTTTCAGAAATATTCTAAAAATGTAAATTAGAAGTTTGTCTTTGGCACATATATAATAGTTTAAAACATGTACCACAGATTAGAATAAATCTGACAATTTGTGTTGAAAATTAACTACTACATTTAAAAGAACTTTGTATAGGAAATTTTGCCATTCATTTAATTAGGTCAGATTTGGTTGCTTGAAGATGTTACATCTGGTGACTGGTAGATGAAAGCACAAAGGATACTTAGGATGCTCTACTTTTTGTAGGCAAGTTTGCTGAATATCCTTAGTAGGCAGGCCACTTGGGAATGATTCTAGGGATTTTGTTTTTTAATTAAATGTTACATTTGGTCATGATTCACCTTAAAAGTGAGTTTTTTAAAAAGTAACCAGGTCAGTTGCAGTGGCCTTGGGAGGCAGAGACAAGGAGGATCCTGAGTTCAAAGCCAGCCTCAGCAACAGTGAGATGCTAAGCAACTCAGTGAGACCCTGTCTCCAAGTGAAATATAAAATAGGTCTGGGGATGTGTCTTAGTGGTCTAGTGCTCCTAAGTTCAATCCCTGGTACCCACTGAAAAAGGGCAGGGGGAGAAGCATGTGGTGGCACACACCTGTAGCCCAGCAGCTTGACAGGCTGAAACAGGAGGATCACAAGTTCATAGCCAGCCTCAGCAACCCTTAATAGTTTAGTGGGACCATTTCAAAAATAAAAAATAAGGCCTGGGGATAAAGCTCAGTTGATAGAGTGCTTGCCTTACATGCTCAAAGCTTTGGGTTCAGTTCCCAGCACCACCAATAAATGAATGAATGAATACATAAATAAATGATGATGATGATAATAATAAATAAAAATGCTGGGGGTGATAGCTTACACCTGTAATCCCAGCCTCACAGGAGACTGAGGTAGGACGATTACAAATTCAAGGCTAGTCTCTACAACCTAGTGTCTGTCTCAAAATTAAAAATAAATATGGCTGAGGATGTGGCTCAGTAGTTAAGTGCCCCTAGGTTCAGTCCCTGGTACCAAAGGAAAAAAGAAAAGTAAGTGAAGCATTCTTGTGGATGGTAATATAAAGCTACTTGGCATATAAGTGGCCTAAAGAACAAGGATGCATTTCTTCCTCATTTCAGCAAACACTTTAAAAATTAGGCTATATTCATATTCTTACAATAACCATTTTAAAAGAAAAATGGAGAATAATAGTTATCATTAATTTGGGGATTATGTAAACAGTAAGTGTTTACATTAAATGGGTTTAATACTTGCTAGTATTTATTCTATTGTAATCTCTAATAATGTAACTAAAGTAACAGTGGCTAAAATAACATTTATGAGGGAAAAGACATCATTTAGTACAAAGTGTACACTTAAATACCTGCAGTTTTTATTAAATCGCATAATTTCTTAACTAAGAAAACATCAAAAAAGGAGTTGGGATTGTTCAGTGGTAGAGCGCTTGCTTAGCAGATGTGAGGCACTGGGTTCGATCCTCAGCACCACATATAAATAAATAAATAAAATAAAGGTATTGTGTTTATCTACAACTGAAAATATTTTTTTAAAAATCAAAAAAATTTTAGACACCAAGAATCCTCCTAAAGAACAATTAGATCCTTTCTTTAAATTGTATCTTTCTTCCAGATACAGCTGAAGTATGTTATTTGATTTTACATAAGGAAAATTCCAAGTATACTCCATATATGAATATAATTGTTATTCATTGGATAGTTCTACCTTTTGCTTTTTAATGATCAGATATGTCTTGATTCTGAAGAATGGTTTAATGAACGTAATCAAAGACTATAATGTAGTATTGAAGTATATTTAATTAATTAGTTGTTTTTATGAGGTAAGTTGCTTACTTAACTCAGTTTTATAAGTTATACATATTTTTAATTTAAACATTTGTAACATCCTAAATATGGCAATGGGTTTGATTTTAAAAAGTGGTGATGCACAGTATTTGAAATAACTTGTACAGATAAGAAATGTTATGTGTTTCCATTTTGTTGTTGTTGCTGTAAGAAAATTCATATGTATTCATTTTAACTCTGCCAAGACTTGAAAATATGTGATATTAGTAATTACCAATCATCTGTATTTGGTGATATTTTTACTATTTTGTTTTATGGTTTTAAAAAATGACTAAAATGTGAGGCTCTTCAATATAATTGCTTTCATCAATACACACATCTATGTAGATTTGTTTATTTTTTAAAGGGGGCTATTTGAGACATTTGAAATTAAACTTAAAATTGTATATATTCTTACTTCATAGTAAATTTTAAAAATAAATGTCCTGAAAATGTCTTTCATAATGATTTAGGTCTTCTTTTCAGGGGCCAGCGCTAGAAGATTTCAGTCATCTGCCGCCAGAACAGAGACGTAAAAAACTGCAGCAGCGCATTGATGAACTTAACAGGGAACTACAGAAAGAATCAGACCAAAAGTAGTGTTTCTTTAAGTCCTCTCTATCATTATTTCTTTTAGAATCTACTTTGAATGATGTGTGTAAGGTTTCAAAATCATAACATCTTATGCTGGGGATTTAGCTCAGTGATATAGTGCTTGCCTAACATGTATAGGGCCTGATTTTGATATCTAGCCACACATCAAAAAGAATAGAACTAGGCATCCTATTTGAAATGTCTTTTGAGAGAAATATATACTTCAAGCAAAAATTTTATGTTTGCCGGGTCATAGATAAAAATGAAGTGTTAGATATTTTCTTTAATTATCTATTTTTATTAGGTGTTTATAAACATATATACTTATTCCTTCCATAAATTTGTAAAATAGCTTGATTATTCATTTTCAAGAGTAGTTTGACCGGTGCTAACTACCTCTTTACTACCTCAGTTCAACAGCAACCAAGACTATAATTACTTTGTTGGCTGTAAAACATGTTGGCAGCTGGGTGCAGTGGTGCACACTTGTAACACCAGTGGCTCTGGAGACTGAGGCAAGAGGATCGCAAGTTTAAAGTCAGCCTCAGCAACTTGGAGAGGACCTGAGCAACTCAATGAGACTCTGTCTCTAAATGAAAATATTAAAAAGGGATGGAGATGTGGCTCCAATGCTTAAGTGCACTTGGGTTTAATCCCCGGTACCCTCCCCAAAAAATGTTGGTAGACTTACGCTTTAATTTTTTTATTTTACAAAATTTTCCTTTATTCAGTTTTGAAGAAGTGTACTGGGTTTAATCCCTGGTAACAAAACAAAACAAAAAAAAATGTTGGTAGATATTGCAGTCATTTATAGCTTCATATTCATTCACTTGTACTTTTTTTTTTTTTTACAAAGTTTTATTTAATTTTTAAGAAGTGATCATAGAGTTTTTTTTTTAATGATGAATAAAGGGTGATTACAATGAATTGGTGGCTTACCAAACATAAAAATTGAGACTTAAACTAAAGCATGAGAGATTGAAAATTGAAGTTTTGATGTTGAAAATTGTGTATCAGGAGCCAGGCATGATGGTGCATGCCTGTAATCCCAACAGTTTAGGAGGCAGAGGCAGGAGGATTGCAAGTTCAAGGCTAGCCTAAGCAACTTATTGAGACTCTTGTCTCAAAAAGGGATAGAGATATAAAGTCCCCCTGGGTTTGATCCCCAGTTACCCCCATTCCCCCCAAAATTGTGTATCGGGTGTGATACACAAATGAAATTTTACAGTTACAGTCAATTCTTAGTAGCTAATGGTCTATAAAGTCACCATGAGCACTAAATTATCGAATATTAAAACATTGCTCCTTAGGGAAAGGGAGATACAGTGTTAGGTGCCAGGAAACCCTGGTCCAACCTTTTCATTAATAGATACATACATAATCCTGTTTTATGTTTCTGTCTAAAGACACCTTATTTGATACATACTGTTGATTCATTAACTTTGAATCCTGCCAATGACAATGTAACTCACGCTTACCAAAACTTACATAAGACTTGATTTCTCCATTAGTAACATTACAGCCTTCTTGTGCTGAGGAACACTAGACAACACTTCAACACTATGTATGGAAACCATTTTAAATACTCATATTACCAACAAAAAGCACAAAAATGTGAAAAATATGGCACTACATAAATAGGAAGCAAAAAGACCACTTGTTCAAAATATGAGAGCAAAAACAAGAAGGTGAAGTATCTCCTTGCATGACCACAGCTGGAAATGTGCATGTACTTCCAGTAACTCAAATATTTCTCTGTCCTGTGCATGTCCATGAGTGACCAGGAAAGCACTTTGAATATTAGTTTGGAAATTACAAATAAATTTTAGCAGGTAGGCAAATTTATAAAGGAAACTGAACAATGAACTTAACTATATTAGTATAAAAATTTTAGAATGTTAAAAGTATTTACTTAAACAGTATATAAATAGTCTCTGGAAAATTATAATGTTAGGTCTAATATTTGGTGCTTACCATATATAATAGCCCGTATGAGGATACAAAAATGGAGAAAACATCGTCCCTAATCCGAAGAGGGTTCACACTCTAAGTGGGGAAAGGCAAGACTGACAACTTAATTTTTACCCACGCTGGATTGTGATAGCTGCTAATATGAGATACAAACTTTTAAGGGAACTTAGAGGAAATAATGATGAAGTTTTACTGAGGTATTTAGGAAAGACTTTACTGGGGAGAGAGTTGGCTAAGAGAGGGCTGTGGTCTAGGAAATAAATGTTTATGGAAGGATTATTATGTACCAGGTACTGAGCTAGGCGGTTTTTTTTTTTTTTGAGTTTTACATGCAATACATTATTGAATCCTTCAAAATAGCCCTTCCTTGTTGTTCCTGCAGATGAAGAAACTGGATATTAAATAAATACATGTTTTATCTAAGATAACTGGTAAATAACATTGTAACACTAGCCAGCTTGTCTTCAGAGCATTGGAATTGGACCTTGATAGGATAGGATATTGTTACTTGAAGAAAATGAAGAGGGAAAGAAGCATTCAGGAATGTGGGGCAAGGCAAGAATAAAAGCACAGAAATGTGTTCTTGCTGAGCCTCGGAATTCTTTCTAATCTAGGAAAACTGTTGCAAATTATGTAGCATGTAATATCAAAATGAGGGTAAAAAGATGTAAGATGACTTAAGAAAGGCTTGAATACTTTCTTGTGGAGTGCTGTAGGTATTGGAGAATTATATTCTGACTTTTTTTTTTTTTTCCCCTTCCCGGTGCTTGGGATTGAACCTAGGGCCTCATGCATGCTAGGCAAGTGCTCTAAGCAACTCTGTATTCTGAAGAAAGGTAATTTAAAGTTATGCGAAGAATAGGAAGGGGATTGTAGATAGGGTCACTAGTTAGGGTACTTTATAACAGTCCCTGTAAGTGATGCCAAGGGCCTAGATTAAGACATGGCATGGAACAGAAAGGAGGAATAAATATGAATCATTTCAGAGCAAAGTAGGTTGGACTTTGTTATACCTGATTGGATATTGGAGAACAGAAAAACAGAATAGATTTTAATGCCTTATAGCTCAGGATAGTACTATAGAATTAATTGAAACAGAAAAATGAATCCGGGACAAAATGACTTTATTTATGTTAATTTTTGAAATATGTGAAAAAATATTGGAAGGGCCCAAATGTGTTTGGAAATATGAATCTAGAACTTAGGAGAGAGAGGACTGAAGATAGGTGGTATTAAAACAGTAAGAAATCATCCTCAAAGAAAAGTGTAGGATGAGATGAGAAGAAACCGCTGTCATTTTATGTAACAGACATTTAAAAGTTGAACAAAGAAGGAGAAGGAGGTAATAAGAGAGACTGTAAGAAAGCAAAAGTGAGGAGGAGGGAAAGAAAATGTAACCTCTAGGTCAAGAAGGAAAAGACATGCTAGTCAATAGTGTCAGATGTTAGAGTCAAGGAGCTGTGATTGGGCATAACCTATTGTAGTGTGATTAGAGGAGATTGGTTAAGAGTAGTTGGCAAATGACTGACTGTAGAGGAAAGGGGGCAAATTAAAGATGGCATTCCTATTTCTGGCATAGATGGGTGGGAGGATGGTAATGATGTGTGAATTGAGATAAGGAACACTGGTTGAATAGAGTTGCTGGGTGGGAATACGAGTTTCATTTGGAACATGATGGATTTAAAATTATTTGAATATTTTACCAGCTATTTTTTTAAACTTGAATATGTATATTCAATATGTATATTGTATATCTATATAAATATACAAATAGGCATGTGTGTATGTCTATGTACACACATACATAATTTCTTTAAGAAAAGAAATGAATTTAGTCTGTTTTGGTATTACAAGTGTTTTAAAAGACCATTTTCATAAATTATTAACTCTACATTATAAGCTTTATGCAGATTGTCTTTAATCAGGTAATATTTGATTAAACTTTTTAAAGAGATGTGAAACTACTTAAGATTAATTTGCACTTGAGTCTTCAAAGTCAAATGAAACTCTCATTTAAAAGCACTCGAAGCAAATATTTAATTCTATGATTTCCTTTTTCAGAGATGCACTCAACAAAATGAAAGATGTATATGAAAAAAATCCACAAATGGGGGATCCAGGGAGTTTGCAGCCTAAATTAGCAGAGACTATGAATAATATTGACCGTCTAAGAATGGAAATCCATAAGAATGAGGTAAATTTGGTTTTCAGCAGTTGTCTGTTATTTTCATAAGCTTTATTATGGTAGATTGGTTTTTGCTAAAAATTAATGTTCCAGTACCCATATCTAATTTTAGAAATTATGATCTAAAAGTATCATGATGGTATGTAATCTTTAGATTTATGCCTCATTTAAAAAATTTTAAACCTTTATATAAAACTAAGTATTTATGCTATTTTTTTAAATATTTATTTTTTAGGCATAGTTGGACACAATACCTTTATTTAATTTATTTATTTTTATGTGGTGCTAAGGATCGAACCCAAGGCCTCACATATGCTAGGCGGGCGCTATACCACTGAGCTATAGCCCCAGCCCCAATACTTACGCTATTATTTAAAATGATCTAGGGCTGGGGATGTGGCTCAAGTGGTAGCATGCTCACCTGGCATGTTTGGCATGTGTGCGGCCTGGGTTCGACCCTCAGCACCACATACAAAGATGTTATGTCCTCAGAGAACTAAAAAATAAATATTTAAAAAATAAATAAATAAAATGATCTATAAAGTTCATCACTGACCAAAGTGGACCAAATATTTCTCATCTCCAAGAATCACATAATTGACGGAGTCTAGTGGCTCATGCCTGTTATCTCTGTGGCTGGGGAGGCTGAGACAAGAGGATCAAGAGTCCAAAGCCAGCCTCAGCAACTTAGTGAGGCCTTAAGCACCTTAGTGAGACCCTGTCTGTAAATAAAATATAAAATGGGTTGAGAATGTGGCTCAGTGGTTAAGTGTCCCTGTGTTCAATCCCTGGCACCCCCCCCCCAAAAAAAATCACATGATTATAAAACCTCAAAGCACATTTTAAATGCAGAGTATCTTATGAGTTTTTGAATATAATTTATTGATCTTGGTTATTATTATTTTTTTTTCCCTAAGGCTTGGCTGTCTGAAGTTGAAGGCAAAACAGGTGGGAGAGGAGACAGACGACACAGCAGTGACATAAATCATCTTGTTACACAGGGACGAGAAAGGTCATTAATTTTGCATTTTTATTTATATTTTTTCTGTTTTCCAAACTTTCCTTACCCCTTTTTTCTAAACTTTATATAATTATCTAATTCAATAAGTTTGGCATTTAATAACTTAATTCTCTTGAACCTAAGTAATTTTTTGATCCTTTAACATTAGTTGCAGGTGAAGTATTAAATGGTAGTCTATCATGCATCCATAAATCAGATCTAGAAACAAAGAAAACTCATGGAGCTATAATCTGGGCCATAGGAACCTTAGGCATAGGAAGATTTCCCTATGATTTAGGTGGAGCTGAGTAACTTTTTTTTTTTTTTTTTTTTAATGGAAGCCCATTGAGAAAAAGTAAAATTATGAAAGGTTTGGGAAACATTTCACTTTCTTTCTCTAACTCAAAGTAAAATAGCTTTTTTTGAGTATATGAAGTCACACTGAGCTACTTAACTTCTTCTCCTTTGTCCTAATAACAGGCATTTATTACATCTGGGATCTAGAGTATGCCAGGCATTGTGCTAAGGGCTTCATGTGCTTTTTGGTCAGTTATTCATTTGGAGTTGGGTAACTTACGCTAAAGGAAAATTTGGTTAATAACTCGAGGTTTTGTGGAAAAAATGGGGGAGGTATGTATATTATTAGTTTAGATCYGCATTTCCAGCTTGGCATTTTGCCAGATTTTTATGTTCACATCACTTGTAACATTTCTTCCTTGGTATAATACAGACACACACAATTTTTTTTCATAATAAAACAGTCCACAAATTAGGGTTCATGTTAGAGAAAAATTTGAATATTTTGTTTTATTATTTAATCACAGTATAATTTGAACAAGTTCTTTTTTAAAAAAATATTTATTTTTTTTTAGGTGTAGATGGACACAACATAATGCCTTTATTTTTATGTGGTGCTGAGAATCGAACCCAGGTCCCGCCCATGCTAGGCGAGCGCTCTACTGCTGAGCCACAATCCCAGCCCCAAGTTCATTTTTAATATTCCCCACATCTCAGTTTACTGAAATATATAATTGAGGTTACAGTACCCATCCTATAGTGTTCTTAGTACTACAGGCAATAATATACATAAAGCATGTAGAAATAAAATACCTTGTAATAGTATGTGCTTCACAAATATTGTGAAATATGAATATTCACAATATGAATATTCACAATTCATGTCTTTAGTATCTCAAGAAAGGTTAGATACAGTGGTGTATACCTGCAATCCCAGCTACTCAGGAGTCTGGGGCAAGAGGATCAAAAGTTTAAGGCTAGCCTGGGCAACTTAAGGAGACCCTGTATCAGAATAAAAATTAGAGAGAAAGAAAAAGCCACAGAAAACTTTTTTTGTGGGAGGGGGGGTATTAGGTAAAACCAGATTGGTCTTTCTGGCATATGTTATATAAGAATGTCTTTCAGGCTTGTTGAAAGTGTTGCTAAATCTAATCCTAAAATTTTTCTATTCACTAACAATATTTTAATAAAAACTTTTAAACATTTTTTTCGTTGATATAAAATATTTTTAAGAAAAATAAAATGCCTTTGTATTACCTGCTCTTTTGGATTTTCTAAGTTACTAATTTCCCCATTACCATGATTAATTGAAATTAACTTTGTCTTGTTTTAATTAGGAGTCTTTTGACTTGTAAGCAGAATGAATACTTTACTCATAATCCTCTTAGAGTAAAAATAGGCTTCACTGGATTATTTGAGGGAAAGCCCAGATGATATCCTTAGGTCTTGGTTTCTTCTTACTTCTCAGCTATCCCTTAAGCATTGGCTTCATTTTAGGCTCCATTTGATGATTTCCCCCAAAGCTCTAGGCAGTTTTCCTCCTGGTTCAAAGTGAAAAGGGAGTGGAACTTCTCTTCTAGCAGTCCCAAGTAGAGTTCTCTATGTACGGCTGTTTAATCTGATTGAGTTATAGCACTATTGGTAAACTCTTTACTCCCATCAAACAAGTACTATGCTCATCTCCTTTCTGGATCCACAATAGAAATAACTTTTGGGCTGGGTGGATTTCCAGAGGAACTTTAGGTATTTTTCCCCCTTCAAAAGAGGGAGTGATGGATCTGGGATGATGAAAGACAAGTGTCTACTACCTTTTTCCATTTTATCTTTTTTTTTTTTTTAATATTTATTTTTTAGTTGTAGTTGGACACGATACTTTTATTTTATTTGTTTTTATGTGGTGCTAAGGATTGAACCCAGTGCTAGGCGAGCACTCTATCACCGAGCCACAACCCAACCCCTCCATTTTATCTTTAGACCCAGTGATAGTGAGGTGTACTTAGTGAATATTCCTATGTGCTTAGATTGTTATAATCTTTATTTATTTATTTATTTATTAATATTTATTTTTTAGTTATCGGCAGACACTACATCTTTGTTTTGTATGTGGTGCTGAGGATCGAACCTGGGCCGCAGGCATGTCAGGCGAGCGCACTACCGCTTGAGCCACATCCCCAGCCCCCGTTATAATCTTTAATTTTTTTTTTTAATTCAGGAAATTCATTTAAGAAAATAGGGCTTAAGAAACCATGTCATCTATATCTAATTTTCTGAACTTATCCTTAGATTGATAAACTTTTATAGATAACAGGTGAAAAGTTCTCATGTTTGTGATACTTGACAGAGATAATTTTATGATTTTTAGTCCTGAGGGAAGTTACACTGATGATGCAAACCAAGAAGTCCGTGGACCACCGCAACAGCATGGTCACCATGAGTTTGATGATGAATTTGAGGATGATGACCCCTTGCCTGCTATTGGACACTGCAAAGCTATCTACCCTTTTGATGGTATGATGTTCTTATTATATTTGATAAAGGTTACTTAAAAGTCTAAGTGCATTGTGACTTATTTTAGTGTCCTTAGCTGAATAATACATTATCAGAAAATCATAACTCCAGTTCATTAATATGTATACTTGTTTAAATTGTTAATTTTTTCCACACTGGAGTTGAAAGAGAATTACCTATTATTAGCTCCTAATTTAGGTTATTATCTGTCAACTTTGGTTGATAACAGAATATCCCTCCAGAACTTACCAGTCTTTAGGTATACTCAACATACTTGAAGCAGCTTGGCATACAGCCCAAACTAGGAAGTAGATGGCTGGTAGATGTCACTTCATGTTCCTTGTAGTTGATAAACATTGAGAGGCAGGTGTAAAGCATAATTAAATGCTGTCATCATATCTTGATTGCACGCCACCTTTTCAGGTGAGAACTGGAAAGAAAGTGATAGCTTCTGACAATACCATCTCTTCTATGATAGTTAGAAATAAATTCTGTGAGGGGAGTAAGGCTTTTTGGCTTTCTACCACAGGTTTTTAGTTATCCTTCCTAATTATGGACCCTGAAAAATCCTTGAATTAACAGAAGAGCAGAGTAACACCTTCCTAAATAAGTTGTAGAATGATAGGTGGTGTAAGGTCTTTCTTCACCTACTCATTGTGTTGATTTTGAAATTGAGTAAAGGGGTTGGGAATGTAGTTCTGTGTTCAAGTGCATGCCTATCATATTTGAGGACCTGGGTGTGTGATTCTCAGTATAACTAAAATATAATATAATAACATAATCTCTTTAGTTACTCCTCAATTCTGAGCAAATTATTATATTTGAGAGCTTTCTAATGCATTCTAAGAGTAGGGAAGGATTTTAGCATATGTTCAATGAGAATTCTACTTAAGAACACTGTTATTGCTAAGCATATTGGGAATGGTTTAGGGTAGGGAAGAAAGGGAATCCTAAAATTGATGAGGTCTTGAAGTTTGTGCTTTGGGGTTATTCTGCTTCTACCATCACCATAGTTAAATCTCTGTTTTTCTCTGTTCTCTTTAAACTATATCCTTTTTCTTTTCCCACCTTCTCACTGTTTTGTTACTACTTTCCTGAACCATGCCTCATGAATTTTTTATAGCAACACTATTCAAAAGCAGGAAAGAATTATTTCATTTGTTACATAGGGATAATATTAGTCCAGCCTCATAGGTTTTTGTGAAGTACAAATGAGAATGTGTGTGAAAGTGTTGGATAAACTACAAAACATTGTAGAAATATTGTTGCTAATGAGAATCAGTGAGCTCATGAGCAGGTATATTGAAATCTAGTAGGATTTCATGTGTTTTGTGTATTGTATTTATAATTTTTATTACAAATTATCACTGTGCTTAAATTATGCTTGTCCTATGAAAACTCATCTAGGTCATAATGAAGGTACTCTGGCAATGAAAGAAGGTGAAGTGCTATACATTATTGAGGAAGACAAAGGTGATGGATGGACAAGAGCCAGGAGACAGAACGGTGAAGAAGGCTACGTTCCGACATCATACATAGATGTAACTCTAGAGAAAAACAGTAAAGGTGCAGTAACTTATATCTAAACTAACCAGGCAGCTTTGTGCTATGTATGACATAAATGAAAACACATTCAACAGGTCAGAAAAAATGAGAAAACCTAAAAGGGCATCCCAATTTATTGTTCACTGTGTGAGCTGAATGCAGGCTTAAGATATGTGAATATCACCACAAAAAGCTGTTTTTGTGATGCCTTCCTGTTTGAGTAATGTTGGTGTGAAGCTTAATTGATGCCTTTGCTTTATGTCCTGCTTAAGTCTCTGTGAAGGATTTGTGTTTTTCTGCCTTATAAATATAGAATTTGGCTTATTGGGCAGGAATACATAGGTTGATGCTCCTCCATCTGCTTTACTTCAGAAAACACAGTGACTGGTTAATTCACATAAGTAAAACTGCTCTGAAATACTATAGAAAACTGACTTACGAAAGAGTAGTTTGTTGTAGGTGTTTGAATTTGTAGCTTCAGTATTTAGGGGAAAAAAGTAATAGTTAGAAAATTGGGTAAAATGATAACAATCATTTTAATTTTCCTCTCTATTCTTAATGTTGGTTTCCTAAAGGAAGAAAATAAGCACTTAGTGCATAATCTAAGTAGTGAGCTAATCAAGAAATCTATAAAATGTATGATCTGGTCTAGGTCTCTCTTCTTTTTTTTTTTTGTGATACAAGGGATTTAACCCTGGGCCTCTTGCATGCTAGAGTGCATTCACAGTTCTTGCTTTGTTTTATTTTGAGACAGGGTCTCACCAGCGTGCCCAGGCTGGCCTTAAATTTGTGATCCTCCTGTTTCAACCTGCCAAGTAGCTAAGATTACAGGCATGTGCCACCGTGCCCTGCCTAGTCTAGCTCTTATCTGAATAAAACAGTTTTAAGATCTGAAAATATTTTCAGATTTACTGGTAATTTTCATTAATGCACAAAATTCCTTCCAATTAATCTTATACTTGTGTTTTTCATCTTGAAAGTGGTTTGCGGGGAATATCACTTTAGTGATTATTTAGCATTTAGCAGGAAAATAAATATTCTAAATCAGTGAAGATAGAGGAAATCTTGAATGGAGAAGTACTGGCAATGTTTACTTGTAGAAGAGAGAAAACTTTTTTGACTGAGCTGAGGGAAGATATCTGTACTACCATTTATGGCCTCATTTTAGCTAGATCAGCAGTTACTAAAATAGATTTTTTTCCAATTAATTTCAATAAGCATTTGTTGGAAACACTGTATAATTAAGTATTGTGTGTGCTAGTCATGTGATCACACCCTGAATTAATTGTGTGGGTAAGCAAAGGGAGAAAGCAATGAGATGGGTCCTTGATTTTGCTCATATTTCACATTTTCCTGGTGTTTTCAGTGGCTGACTATAAAATGATTTTAGAGACGTTTGGGGCAGACACTTTAAGCTGAACACCCCTTTTGGTCTTACCAAAGGTCTTCAGTAATTCTTCTTTTCTTTTTCCTCCTGGACTGCAGGTTCCTGAAGAGGGTTTCTGAGGAAATGGGCAAGATGTTGAAGGAGGTTACATGCAGCTGCTTTTGGGGGGAGGGTATTAGAGTTGTCAGGCACAAAGAGTGAGAGAAGCAAGTTGCATGAGTGCATGCAGACATTTTTTTTTTTTTACTAACTTCGTTAGCATTCCATACATTGTTTTAAAAATTTGTTATAATACCAATCCTTAAATTCCTAGTTCACAGTTATTAACATAGAAGAAAGAAAAAAGCCAATAATGGCTGACCCTTTTCCATTTATTTTACTGGCGTGTCCAAATCACAAACAGTGCAGAGCTGTCATAAAAATTTGTCTTATATTTGATTGTCTCAATAAGACTGTCTCTACCCAGCTCTGTTTTAATTGCTTTTTAGACCCATTGTCTGTTAGAATTCTTGCCATGTGTCACTGTCTGCCTGTGCCATCTCCATGCTTGCTTAACATCCTGTTGCATGTCTAGAGTGATTAGACTTAGATTTTTCAGGCATGTCTTTATAATCCCTTGTTCATGTCAAAGCCTTTGTTTTGTTTTACATTTGTAGTGCAGATCATTTTGTCAAACATCTCCAGCACTAATGTTTCCATCTTAGTATTTGTGTACGCTGCTACAACTTCCCCACTGCAAACATTCCAATTTTGGCATTATGAAGACGTGGTCTGTGAACCTGAAGTATTTATGATAAGAAAAAGAAAACATCTCTGCTCTAGCCTACAGCCCAGTTGAAAGGACTCTTTGAAAAGTGATACATCTTCAGCACCTCAGTCTGGGAAGAATCTATAGTCAGCACTGAAGTCCTGGCATAATAAACACAGAAGATACCACCTCAAGACAAAGGACTGTTGTCAAAAGTCAGCTGCTTCCATTCAAATGCTGCCTTAAACTAGAGTGCCTAAATCTGTTGATTGCCAACACTACCACTACAGTATCCCACAAAGGGCTTTGTGTCAGCTCAGTGTGACCTCCTTTAACTCTGCAGCTCTGCTGCAGCTGCCGATGTAGCCTCGGTAGGTAGCTTTTAGAGCTCTACCATGTACAATGGTGCATCTTCAAATTTATGCATCAAACTAAAGACATGTCTGAAGTCCATTTTACTTAGTGTTTTATGAGAAGTTTTATGAACCTCCCCAATCGTCTTTTAATTTGAGGTTATAATGATCTCATTTGGTTATTGCAATGATAGTCTGTTTCCAAGTGATGCTTTTGTTTGAATCAGATAAAATTTAGTTAAACTTTGTAATGATCTATGTGCACTTTTACTTGTAAAACGGAAATTTCTGTATGTTTATACTTGTAAATATAATTGTCCTTAGTGTCCCTATTGCTCATGTTATCATGCCTCACATTTGTGATTCTGTTATTGACTTGTACCTGAACTAATTTCTTAGTGATGTTGTACTAGGGAGATGGGTGGGTGGGGAGTTATTTGTACCACTGAAGCTTCATTAATTTGGTTCTTTAATGTTTTGAGGGGAGAAATAATGTGAAATGGTTTGTGTATTATTGGATTTTAAGCAATATTTTAGAAGCTATGTGACTGTTTTAATAAAATTTTCCCAGTGTTATTTGAATCATACTACCAGTTACACTAAAGCTGAATGACAATTGTGTGAAGTTAATGCCTTCCTAAGATCAAGTATACCACTGTTACACAGTTGACATAGTGTATTACCTTTGAGGCTAGTAAACTATAAACTTTAGATATTGAATCTCGTTACAGGGTTATTTATATAATGTGACATTATTCAATACTGACCGACTACATGAAGTAGTTTTAAAATCTAGTGCTATTTTTATTTTAAAGGTTAGCAATGAGAAGGAAATGTGATCTGGCTGTGTTTGTCTTCTGTACAAAGCCTGCAGTGCTTATGTTTTTTTGGCTAACAGCCACAGAGGGCAAAGTTTAAGGCTTTCTTGTAAGGACTAACTGTTCTTTTGAAGCTACTGTTTGTTTTTCTAAAAGCAGAATTTGCTTCCGAAGGAGGCAGGTTCCTTCATGTGGAATAGTGCAACCTGTATATGGGTTATTACAATAGGAAAGACATTTGTACTTGCACAGTTTAAATCATTATTAAATCATTCTTAAATTTTGAACATGTGAATTGTCCAAAAGAAATCTTAAAAATTTTCAGTAATTTTTACTCTTTGTGCACATGTTGATTTCTTAATGGTAAATTGTTTAAGATAGTGTTCTCTGTTGAGAATATTTTCATGGAATAAAACAATCTTTTCATGGTCAGTTAAGTTGTATCTTTCTTTGGTATGTGAACCAACAAGATGTGATGATTTTGTTCTTCAGTGTGCTAAATTTCAAAAAATAACTTCTTGAAGTTGGACGACATTTTTGGAAAGCAGTTTCAGAAATTTTATTCTTATTTTCTAGTTTTCTCCAAAGAAAGAATAAATACTACTACTTTAGAGTTATTAAATGCATGTAACAATTTATATTTGTTCAACAGTAGCCACATTGCACAGACTTCGCTTTTATACCATTGTATCCTCTCTCTCTACACCATCTGTCCCTGGACTGCATAGCTTGACCTAGCCACCACACTTGAGCCGGCATTTACTATGCTTCTGCTTGAGAGTACCCATGCTTCCTGGCATTTCTGAACACGGAAGAGAATGTTTGCCATAATTAGTCACAAATTATCTGTAACTTTAAAAAATCTAATTTCAGAAGAGTCATCTAGTCATGTGAAACTATGACTGCAAACTTTTGGTAACCCAAAAAGGAAAAACTCATGGTAGATCCTGAATAGTGAGAGGTTATAATTGTTAAGATTAATATTTAGAGATCAAGGCCAAGCTTGGAAGTAAGGACATACAACAATGAAAGTAGCAGGAAAGTAGTGTCGTCAAATGTTGTAGTTTTAGGCAAACGAGTCTACGGGGGGGAAAAAAGGCAGCAATGGCTGCTCAAGACCATGAAAAAGGCTTCTGCCTATCTGAAGTAAGTTTGGGAAAATAAATATTGCTTGCTAGGGAAAGATAAAAGCCTTATAATAAAATCAACAAAAGGAAAAGGAACCCAGACTTGTTAAAAAAGAATAGTCACTGTCAGCAGTTAGGAAACTATAGAACATAATTTTGGAGAACAATTTTGGGAAGTTTAACAACCTTAAAAATACTAGAAATATGATCATTTAGAAGAAAATATAATGAGTGGTTAACCTAGGTTCCTAGGGATAAGTCATGTCAAATTAGCCTTATTCCTTTCTTTAGCTGCAAATGAGGGATTCTAAGGCATAATGTCTTGATTTCAGCACAGTTTCAATTTGTCAAGATTTCTCACTACTTGTAAGATGGTTATAGTACTATGTAGAGAGTTGGGGCTATGACAAGTTGATTTGGTAAACCCAGAATGTCAACACTAAGGAGAATTTCTTGTGGAAATTGTGTATAATAAACAAATCTGTCACCCAACTGTGCAAATGGAAAATTGCCATCTCCTCTTTCAAGAGTAACCATTATCTTGAATTTTGTGTTTTTTTTTTTTCTTGGTAGTTTTGCTACATGGGGATTTATTTTTTCCTTGGCCTGACTAGCTTTCCTTATATTTGAGCTCTGTAAGAATAATGTCTGTAAAGTTGTTGAGCAGGGCTGATATTCGGCCATTGCATCCTAATGTATAGTCATAGCGAATGCTAAATGTCAAAATACTTCCATACTGGTTGGTAAAAGTAATAATTTAGAAAAGTAGTGAAATGGAAATCATACATGATAAAAGCATTTCTGATGGGAGCACTGCAGATAAAGCTAAAATGGTTTACTATAGCAACTTATTCTGTGTGGTGAAGAGTGGCCCACCTTGTGCATTCAAGGTGTAAGAAGAGGAACTGTTTTCTATCTAGAGGAGAGTTTTGCAAATGACAGCTAAAAATCAAATGCTGTATTAAATAGAAGTGTTGAGAGTATACATCCTTGTCTTGTTCCTGATTTTAGAGGGAATGCTTTCAGTTTTTCTCCATTCACTATGATATTGGCTTTGGGTTTGTGGTATATAGTCTTTATGATGTTGAAGTAAGTTTATTCTGTCCATTTGGCATTTTTTCATGAATGGGTGTTGAAAATTATTGAAGACTTTCTCTGCATATATTGAGAAGACTTTATGATTTTTGTCCTTAATTCTATGTGGTAAATTACATTTATTGATTTGTGTATGTTGATTCATCCTTGCATCCTAGGAGGGAAACCAGCTTGGTCATGATATACAATCTTCTTAACCTGTTGGTGAATGTTTTACTAAGGATTTTCACAATTATGTTCATTGGGGATATTGGTTTGTAGTTTTCTTTCCTTGATGTGTTCTTCTCTGAAAGGTGATATTGGTTTCAAAAAATGAATTTGGAAGTGTTCTACTCCTTTCTATTTCATGGAATAACTTGAAGAACATTAGCATTAGTTCTTCTTTAAAGGTCTGGTAGAATTCAGCTGAGAATCCATCTGGTCCCAGACTTTTCTTCTTTGGAAGACTTTTTTTTTTTTTTTTTTTAAATGTGGTGCTGGGGATCGAACCCAGTGCCTCACACATGCTAGGCAAGCACTCAACCACTGAGCCACAACCCTGGTCCCGGAAGAGTTTTTATTACTGCTTCCATCTCATTGCTTATTATTAGTTTGTTTAGGGTTTCCTATGTCCTTTTGATTCAACTTTGGCAGTTCATATGTGTCTAGAGATGTATCCATTTCTTCTAGATTTTCCAATTTATTGGAAAATAATTTTTCCAAATAGTTCCTAGTAATCTTCTGTAGTTCTCTGATGACTAGTGATTTCTCCTTTTTTATCTCTAATTTTATTTATTTGGGTCTTTTTCTTTTGGTGCATTTGCCAAAGGTTTATCAATCATTTATCTTTTTAAAGAATCAACTCTTTATTGACCCATTGTATTTTTTTTTAAGGTACCTGGGATTGAACCCAGAGGCACTTTATCACTGAACCACATCCCCAGCCCTTTTTATTTTGGGGAGACAGGGCTTACTAAGTTGAATAAGGCCTTGCTAAGTTGCTGAAGCTGGCCTCACATTTGTGATCCTTTTGTCTCAACCTTCCAACTGAGATTACAGGTGTGTGCCACTATGCCCAATTTCCCTCTCTATTTCATTGATTTTAACTATGATCTTATATTCTTTGTTCTACTGATTTTGAATTGTTTTTCATTTTTTAGGGGCTTGAAATGCACTATTATATTGTTTGGTTGAAGTCTTCCTGGTTTTTTTAAATACAGGCACTCATAGCTGTAAACTATTTTCTTAGTACTACTTTCATAATGTCCCAGAGATTCTGATATTTCTAACTCTATTCTGCTGTGATTGAAAGAATTTTTAAATTTCCCCCCTGATTTCTTCTATCACCTGTTCATTATTCAAGAGTGTTATGTTCAATCTCCTGTTTTTAGTTTCTGTAGTTTTTCTTGGTGTTGATGTCTAATTTCATTGCATTGTGATCTGGTAAGATGCAAGGAATCTTTCTTTTTTTTTGGTGGGGGGATACTTTCTAGGAGTTGCTTTGTGACGTAAAATATGGTCTATTTTGGAAAAAGTTTCATGAGCAGCTGAGAAGAAAGTGAATTTGGCTGTTGTTGGATGAAATATTCTATAGATGTCTGTTAGATTTGATTTGATTTATACTATTGTTTAGGTCTGAGGAGCTTTGCTGAATTTATGTCTGGATGACTTACCAATTGGTCAGAGAGGTGTGTCAGAATCATCCAGTATTTTGTATTTGGGTCTGAGTCATTCATTTGAGTAATGTCTGTTTTATGTAATTAGGTGCACCAATGTTTGGGGCATAGATATTAACGACCATTATATCTTCTTGTTGGATTGTTCCCTTTACCAGTATGAAGTGACTTTCTTCGTCTCTTCTGATGAATGTTGGCTTGAAGCCTGCATTGTTGGATATGAGAGTAGTCACTTGCTTATTTTGGAGCTTCCTTTGCATGGAAAATGATTTTCCATGCAATATCATTTTCATTTTCAACCTTTGGCTGTATTTGCTTATAAGAAGAGCCTCTTTTAAACACTATACAGTTGAGTCTTGTTTTTTGATCCATTCTGCCATTTACATTCATTATTGTTATAGAGAAATACTTATTAATTTCTGCCATTTTGATTTATTTCTAATGTTTAATTTGGTTCTGTTTCTCATTTGCTCAGCTACTCTTCAAATGAGATCCATTTGTGAGCTCTGGAGGTTGCTTATTATTTGTTCTGTGTGTAGTATTTCTTTAAGTGTTTTCTGTAGTGCAAGCCAAGTAATGAATTCTTTTAGTTTCTGCTTATCATGGAAGGTTTTTATTTCTGCCTTGATTCTGAGGATGACTTTGCCGGATGTAGCAATCTTCGCTGACACTTATTTCCTTTCAGGGCTTAGAATGATGTCTTCTAAGAGTTCTGAAAAATCAGAAGTAATTTTGATTGACTTACCTGTAAAAGTGGCCTGACATTTTTCTCTTGAGACTTTTACAATTCTCTTCTTCTGTATTTCATGTTAGATATTTTAATTATAATGTGTCATGGAAAGATTCTTTTTGATCTTGTCTATTTGGGATTCTGAATGATGCTTCTTATATCTGGATGTCCATCTGATTCCCAAGGCTTGGACATTTTTCTTTTATTTCCCTGAAGAGGTTATCCATGCCATTAGCCTGCATCTCAACAACCTTCAATTCCAATAATACTTAGGTTGGTCTGAATGTTGTCCCAGAGTTCTCATATATTTTGATCATGGTTTGGTTTCTTTAATACTGTCTGAATATTCAAAGATGGCCACGTTTGTCTTCCAGTTCTGAGAGTCTATCTTTTGCATACTCTACTAGAGAGACTTTAAACTGAATTTTTATTTACTGTGCCTTTTACTTCCAAGATTTCTCTTCAATTCTCTTTCAGTATCTCTGTTTATTGAATTTTTCATTCATATCCTGTACTGAATTCCTTATTTCATTCAGTTATTTCTGTGTTTTCTGGCAACCCATTACTTTTTGATAGCCATTCTTTTGAGTTATCTGATATTTCACCGTTATCTGATATTTCACCCACTTCAGTATCTTTGGAGTTAGTTATTGACAAATTATGAACCTTAGGGAGGTATCATGTTGCCTTGTTTTTCACATTATATTCCTTTGTTGAGATTTCTGCATCTTTTGGGATGGATTTCTAACGTGTTGACTATTTTAGGGCACAGTCTTCTCTTGGTGAAGTATTCTGGGATATAAGGTTGTTGTGTATTGTTCAGTATATTT